AGCTGAGTCTTGAGCTTATTGCTTGAGCATATTGCTGAGTTGAAGTCACCACACGAATGCATCCTCCCAGAAGTCTGGGTGTTCAAGTGTGTGTGTGTGTGTGTGTGTGTGTGCGCGTGCGTGCGCACGTCGTGCGCACGTCGTGCGTGCGTGCGTGCATGTGCACTGGCCGGTTGCCACAAGGGCCCCGCCATCTTCGGCGAACTGGTCATCGACGCAGGTCCGGCTGCACATAGGATTATGCCCGATTGTGTGACCACGTTACATCGCATCCAAGTTTCGGCCGTTTGCGCAAAGATCGTCTGCGAAGTTTCTCTCGCTGGAGAAGTCTCGTGTTGGGCCCTCTCGAGTCACCTGACACGCCCGTTCACGTTCCTAGGCTCTTGATGAGCACTTGTTTTGGGTACCACAAGTTGCATGCAACTTGATGGTGACGTTACCTGGCAGGAGGATACGTTAGGATGCATGATGGTCAACGAAGATTTAGCAGCAACCCACGACTTGTACGAAGCAATGTGGCACGATGATGCATTGCATATGCGCCGTCAGGCCTCTCCGCTGCCCTCGCCGCCACCTCCGCCGCCTCCGCCGATGCAGCCCCATGGCAAGCGGTATTCTTCGAGTTCAGGACGCACGAGCATTCTCGAGGTCTGGCTCTGCCGGAGACAGCTCCAGCTACCTCCAATCCCCGGGTTTTGGGCCGGGCGCTTGCGGCTTCGCACTCAAAATCCCTTTCAGCTGCTTTGGCCAAGGGCGGCGCGCTCAACAGCCTGGACAGCGACGGAGGCCCAGGTCTACCGGTGCAACATGGCTCGCCCACAGATTTGGTTTTGGAGGCGACGCCACGGCAACCCGGAGACGGCACTCCCACCGTGGATGGAGGCACGGCTGTCCGATGGCGGTCCAAGCGCTATCCTTGCATCTGGCGGCGATCAAAGTCTTGCTTGAAAGATAGAGCCCGTTGGAGAAGTTGAGGCTTCAAATGTCCGTCCGATTTCAGGATTCCCGGATAAGGGGCTGCAGATATCCGGGGTGTGATTTCAAGGTGCTGTTGCCAGTGTGCAATTATCAATCCAGGACCCAGCTACATGCCAGGGCCTTTCTTGAGCACATGAAGCTTGTAGCCTTTGTATGATTTGTCCAGGCTGGACTCCTCAACTCTACGGTGCTTCCACCCCCACCGTGATGCCGACGGACTCGGTCCCAACGGTTACTCAGACGGCCACCCACACGGCGACTCAGACGTCAGCGGCGACAGCTACACTGCAGAGCACAGAGGCTGCCGACAACCATGTAAGAGCTTTGCTACACACGCTTTGCTATGCTTTGCTATGCTTTGCTATGCTTTGCTATGCTTTGCTATGCTTTGCTACGTGGGTGGTATGCAGCAGCGGGCGATGCGGGAGGCTACGACGGCCACATTGCCCGGCACGAACAGTGTCCCAACGGAGCGTGTCGCCCCTGGCCATGCCCAGATGCGGGACAGGGTTTCATGGGCAGCCGGGCAGCCGATGGCTGAGGTGACAACCTCCCGGTAGAAGCACAAGACGCAGAGGCCCCGACCAAGGAGCCTTACAGCTGGAGCCTGAGCCAGGGCGCGCAAAGGAGGTCTTGATGCTGGCTAGCCAAGGTGCCGTGATGAGCGCCAAGAAGGTGTGGTGAGAGTGCCTCTGCCGCGGTGCAGGTTGCATGCCATGGCAGCATCGCATGTCACGACAGTCGACAGTCGCTGGCCCCGGGAACTGGCAATAGGGCAGATGATGGCATGCTCATATGATGGCAGATGTAGCGGGAAGGATCAGAAAGAGCTAGTCGCTGGTAGCCTGCGCTTAGCCAGTGCCGCCTGCGCCTGCCATAATGGCGGTCGAAGTCGCCCCCGCGGTCGATGCCCTCGGCGCTCCATGGCCAGAGCCTCGAGTCTTGAGGAAAGGCAGGGCCCCTGTTGCGCGGCGTGTACGTGGTGAGGTGGCTTCCCTACTGCGCCATGCTGGTCATGCTCGAGGCCTTCGTTCGGTAGCTGTGCTGCCTTAGCGAAGCTGCTGCTAGCCTGTTGGCTCTTGAAGTGCCAGTTTGGCCTCTTGGCCCTCTGGTTTCTGGTCTCTTCGGCCCAGAAGATGTGGAGCAACAGCAGCAGGACGGAGGTCGGCATTCTGTCAGATAGGTCGCACAGTACGTTGCGCTTGCCGCAGGTGGAGCAGGAAAGCTTGGACACCGAGCCAGTGCCTGGCAGTGAGTCCGGGCACTTGCTCGTGGCCAACGCGGCACCTTGCGGCCCGCGGGGGAAATGGGCTCGTGCAGAGCCCAGAAGTTCAGAGCATGACAGCAGTGTACTGCTGCAGCAGCACGCAGTAGCACGCAGTAGCTCTATAGGGCCCTAACCCTGGCCCTGGCCCAGCTTCCTACTCCACAGAGCCCACGGAGTTCGACAGTGGCATCTGCCACGGATCCTGGCTTTGCCGGTGCCTTACCGTTTATACAGGGCCCAGGAGGCCGCAGGGCTGGGCTCTCAACCATGTTTGCTGCCCTTCCGTCGAGGCATTCACAAGCCGACAGCAGCCAGGATCTCAGTTCTCTTCCGAGATCCGTCGTGTCCACGGACAGCCACTGCTTTGAGAACCGAGGACGCAGAGCGAATGAAGGCTGGAGACTATCCCTTTGCTGATCACCTGCATACCAGGAGCGCATCTCTGACATCAGCTCCGAAAGCTCCGTAACTTCTCAGTTGTGTAGGCATCGAGGATCGGCATGTGTGCGGACTGAATGTCACGAAGATCTAAGCATGCTCTACACATCTTCGCGGAGATAAACCCGCGCAGACTGAAACCTGCATCTCGGTGTCCTTCAGCCCTTAAGTCGGATACTATGACCGATTAGGACATAAGAAGCGCGCAGGAATCCAAAGATCTCCGCCCAAACTCATGGCTAAGCCGCCCAACCTCGCAGGAAGCGACTCTGGGAGTTCCGGTTGCAGCTGAAGTTCCGAGAGTCCGCCGGAGCCCCAGGGAGGCTCTCGGCTCTCGCAGCCCGAGGCATCTGGGGGTTTCCGAAAATTAGGGGTACCTTATTTTGGGGTCCTTATAATAAGGATCCCATTATTTAGGGTACTATATTAGGGTCCCCTATTTTCGGAAAGCCCCATCTGTGAGATATCCTGAGATGTGCAGCCTGAGCTTGAGCCGCACACAAAGGTTCCAGCTGGGAACGTTTTCTTCGGTTGTGAGCAGGATCGCTATTATCATGTCGGCACAGCCAGGGCCTCACAAGTGGTGGGAGTTCATCTCCACATTGATTTGCCCTACCATAGAGGTGCTCCGAGTTCTCAGGTTGATCTTGGTCGTCCGATGTAGTTATGTAGACGACGCAGAGACATTCGCCAAGCATCCGGGCCCGCCTCCTTCGTTTTGGTTTTCGCCTGTGTAGAGGATATGCGAAAGGCTTCACAGTAAAGTTCCTGGCCATCTCACCGTAACTAATGCCACTTGTGTCAAGGACGCCACCAAAGTTTTGGAACCAGAGCCATTTGAGTTCCTCTTCGTGGCTTCCGGACCGTTTAAAGCAGCGAAACCACGAATTTCGCTGTGTCAGAGCCTCTCAATTATTCTTGGCGGCTTCTTCGTCCAAGTCTGCTATCAGGGACAACAAAACGAGCACGGGGCGCTTCACATTCTTCTTCTCAGCATGTTGTCCTTGAGTGGTACGTCACCATAATTAGGAACGGAAGACTGCTGTGGGCCAGATCCGTCTAACATATTGTTCCATATTGTTCCCATTTTCTCCTTGACATCTTCAGGACATACTGTAGCTACGGGTTCTGTCGTGCAGAAGTGTGGCAAACGCAGTACGCGCAACGACTTGAGGGCATGTGTAGTTCCCTGTGCTGTGCTGGTCCGTCGCTGCTCAACTCTTGAATCATGTCGTCTTCGTCGTGTGTTGTTGGTCGACGTCAGGGATGTGACACAGTCGAAGGGCATGAGGCGCTTGGAGCCTCTGAACTGTGATGTTGCGGGCACCTAAGATTGAGCGCTACATCTCCTCTTCGGTTATTGCGCTTTTGAGGCCGGACAGACCGCACGAGTTAGTTCACGTACGGTCCGCCAAAGCGTCACATGCAGGAAAGCTTCTGGCGATGCCATGCGGCTTTGGCAAGTTTGAGGATACTGCTTCCCCATCTCCTGAAGACAACTTGGGGTAGGGTTCCGTTGTGGAAGCTATGCAGCGTCTCAGTTCACGAGGTACCAGACACATGGTGACGACCCCAAGCCAGCATCCTAGAGCCACGGCACGACGCCTTTCAGTCGCCTTTCACTTCACTCGAGTGTCCCGAAACATCCGGGTCCCAAAGACTAAATTCGAGGTATGTCCAGGGCGAAGCGGAGCGGCCGACTATTGCCTTTCCGCTCTGGGCCGGGGGCCGAAGTGCAGAAAGCTTGGCTCAGGGGACTACAGGACGAAGAGGTGAGGCGGGAATTCCACAACTGGAATTCCTGTCGCAGTGATCCTGATGGGGTGTGCAGAAAGACTTCGCATTCGCATCAGGCGGAGCCCTGTAGACTGCTTGACGTGTAGTGACTGGGTAGTGCAGGTGGGGTCGCGGCTGCAGGCTCGGACTTTATCCAAACACGCACACGGGTGGGGCTGAACCGGGTAGTAGGTGGGAACAAGTGGAGAGCCGGCGACCCTGATTGGTAGTGAGGGCAAAGTTCAACAGGAAGAAAGAAGTGCACAGAGGACAATCGAAGCTGTTGTGGCACTTGCGACTGATGCAGAAGAATAAGATTACCAAGAGCGAGAAAACTGAGAAGAAGGACAAAAGGATGATAAAGGGGCTGCTGACTGTGTGGGTGATTGTGGCGCTGATGATGCCGACGAAGCCAAGGAAGAAGCTGGTTCATATAGACAGCATTCCCAGGTCATGGACCAACTGATCATCACGGAGGAAGGCGACGACCCACCCGCCCTCAATGTGTGGGCCTCGGGATGACCTCAGAAAGCCAGCCCCTCAACTTCAACAGTCTCTTCGCTCACCCCTTCTGGCTCAGTTTTTAGACCCCGGCTTCCGGAACGGGCCGCCAGGGCGCGCACAGGAGTTTGGAAGCTACTGCCATGTCAGTTGCCAAGGGCAAGGTCGCTAAGGTCGCTACCGTGGAAGGGAAGGTCCAGAAGATGAAGCTGATGGAATTAGTCCAGCGAACCATCATGTGCAAGTTCTATCGCGCAGGCCGTGCGGCGTGCGGTAAAAAGCTCACGATTAGCTAAACCTCTTTGCGCTCGGTTTGCAAACGGTGCTTGGTCTGCTTCGCGCTGCGCAGGTCTTTGCAAGCGAGGCTCCGGCTGTACCTTCGCTCACGACGAAGCGGAGTTGCTGTCGGCTCCAGATTTGTACAAGACGAGTCTTTGCTCAAAGTTCCAGCGGAGCAACTTTTGCAAGAAGGGTGACCGCTGCAGATATGCGCATGGGACGGAAGAGCTTCGAGAGCTGCCGAGTAAAACTTGGATCGGCACAGCACGCGGTTCGGCCAGCGTCTCCACGGCCTCCTTCGGCGATGTCAGTGAGGAAGCCGATTCCGCTTCCTCCGACACAGAGCAGATTTGCCTGCGTGTGAAGAACACCTTCCTAGAGTTCGGCTACAGCGAGAGCAGGCCGATAAAACGTACTGTAAGGTTGCCAGGCCCCAATGTCGGTGCCTTCCTTAGCCTTAGCCGGGCAGGTGCTCCCCGGCCCCTCTCCGGCGATGCGACTCCGAGCCTTGAGACGCGAGTCCAGGCTTGGGGGCTGCACTTCATGCAAGTATGCAAGTATGCAAGTATGCATGCATACAGACATGCGGGATACACGCAGACACACATGCATGCACATCCAGAAACGCGGCTGTGCAGCGAGCGCTTGTACATGCACGTTTAGGATTTCATGGCTGCTGCTAGGCGCCTAGGCACTACCAATGACCTATGACATGCATTTGGGAGATCCATCTTGCAGCCCAGCATGCAGTGGTACCGGGAAGTGGCACCACCAGCTGCTGACCTGTCGCAGCCAGCTGACACTTGGCACAGTTTCGGTTCGGCGGAGATCGTCGAGTCTCTCATAGGCTGATGTTCATAGCCACAGATCGCACACTCATTTCCATTCATCATACCGAACAAGATTCCCAAGAGGTAGTGTCCCTCTCGATGCTTGAATGTCAGGCCAGCAGCGATGGTCCAGCGCCACCACCATCTGCATCAAATCCAATGAGTATAGCCGCATCAGATGCTCGACCGAGTGATGCGAGTGATGCCACTGGCCCTCACGAGTAGGGCGCCTCCGACATAATGTGGTTATGGGCCGAGCTCGCTTGTTCGAAGTTTGCCCTTCAGCTTCATGCGGTCTACAGGCTACAATCGTTGTTGTTCTTACCGCGGTTGTTTTTGGCCAGTATGGTCAAGCGAAAACATCAACATTGCCTAAGCTTGAGCCCATACAAGATCCTTGAACGACACTTTCCACGATGCAGCCGCTGTCAGATGGCGTCGCGGCGTCGGCTCGTTGGGAACCCTTTGACTCTTTGACTCAAGGAGCCCATCCAAGAATCGGTTTTGCCTGACACTCTTGGGAGCCTCTCGAGCGGTCCTGGAAAGTGTCCTGCACTGTCGCACAGGTAGCCACTTAGGAGCCCTCAGCTCTACGAACACTAGGCCGAATGTGAGCCGCCTGTGCGGAATTTTGAGAACTGCCACCCTCCATGTGTCGGTGCCATCAAGTGTTTCCGAAGATCAGCACAGAGTGCTATGGAATTCGGCTGGGCTGCACAGACATGATGCTACCGCTTTTGATGCAGTCTGACACGAAGCAGTCCGGACATGGAGACAAAAAACGTGGAACTTCAGCAGTCGTCGCTCATTGGGTTGCAGTGTGCTGCAGTGTGCTGCAGTGCATTGCAGTGCATTGCAGTGCTGTACCGTGTCCTAGGACCCAGACTTCTCCTCCTACGGCACGGTTCGTGCTTTGGACCGGAAGCGCATGCAGGAGGCGCTTTTTTGCAGCTGCCAAACAGCCTTGGAGCTTCTCGCCCTTCGGTAGGTGATGCAGGGTCTGGACTTCCAGCCGGGCCGAACCTTCACCTTTGGTTGGGTCCCTAAACACAAACGGATGAAAGGGTTCTGCTCTTCTGCTCTCGCCGAGGCTTTTGGTGCATTGCTCAGTTCGTCGATGCCGTCGGCTGGCGAGTGCCGGGAGCTGGGCCATGTCCCGCTGCAATGCGTTTGCCAGTGCTTGCTGGGTCCCCTTTTGAGGCCAGCTCGGGGGGTGATTCCGGAAGTGAAGCTCAATGAGATCGGGACGCACCCGCCGAGTCCTCCGGCATCCTCCGTCTCCGGCTACTGAGGGGCCCCAAACTCGCTCTGACCTTCGAGGCCGATCTACATCACCATGTACCTGCTCTCGAATCGGGATGAATGGAATGCAGAGCTCCCAGCAGACGAGCTGAAGTTTACAAAAGAGCCTAGACCGGGGCCTAGCAGCCAAGCCTGAGAGGTTCAGGGCACCCGTGACGAGCGGCACCTGGACTCAAGGCCAGCCTGCAGTTCTTCGGGGCTCGTGAAGAGAGTGCCGCACTCTGAGAGAACACATATGGCATGATTGGATCCAGGAAGATCTACATTTGGCGCGTGGCTGCATGGAGCAGTCCGTGCCTCAGAGAGCCCAGGGTCTTTGACGAGCCCTGCCTTTGCGAGACTTCAGGCTTGCTGCCGCCCACACCGAAGCGTCAGAAGGAGAAGTCCAAATGGTCCAAACCTGGTGATACCTAATCCAGAGACATACAGAGACGTGAGGCTTCGACACCTTGACAAGAGAAGCGGGCCGCCCCACCCCGACCCCTTAGGGCCCCAAACCACGGTGTTTACGCTCCGGCACAGAGGAGCTCTTGGCCAGCACAGAGCGACGCTTTTCCGTCTCCACGCCCCAGGGCGCAGAACTGAGCCTTGGGGAGTTCTCCCACCTAGCATCAGGCTTGGGGCAGGGAGCAGTCACAAAGCGCTTTGGGACGCCACAAGCCTCAAGACATATCATGCGATAGCACGATTTGAAGTGCGAGCAAAGTTGTCGTTCAACTAAAGACTATCCGGACGCCTCACGACTGGTCTCGGGTAGGTATCTTGACATGACTCTATTCGCATGTCAACCTTGAAGGATATTGAAGCATCTTGCAAAGAGCTTCGGAATTAGCGGCTAGCGGCTAGAAGTGATCCTGCCATGGAGCTTGCGAGCTCTGCTTTGGTGGAGTTGAAAGACTTCGAAGGGACCGGCCGGGGCGTGGCTGCCCTGCGCGACACGGAGGAAGGTGAGGTGCTTCTGGAGGTTGAACTCAAGCACTGCTGGACAGCGGAGAGGGCAAGAGAAGCCTTAGGAATCGATGGCCTCAGCGAGAAGGAGGCCATCTTGGCACATCTCATGGTCGCAAGCGCAAGCAAAGAGGCCGGAAAGTCAGTGTCCTGCCACCTCGAGCAGCTGCCTAGACTGGAAGACATGGATCTTCCGAACTTCTGGGCAGGTGAGGACCTCGAGGAGTTGGAAGGCAGCGAGGTGCAGACCCACGCCCTGAGACTCCGAGAGGAGCTCCCGGAGGACTTCGCGCAACTCTGCGAGAAGCTGAAGAAGCTGACGTCTTCAGAGCTCGAGAGCCTGAGCTTCGCAAGCTACCAGTGGGCTTGGAGCATCTACTCCTCTAGGGTCATGTCCTTGAGTGTCAGCGAGGGCAGCCCGATCTTCGCCATAGTTCCAGGGCTGGACATGTTCAATCATTCGCCCCGGATGCCTCCTGGGCTCTTCAAGTTGGATTGCGAACGGAACATGGTCGTCATGAGAGCCGGTGTGCGGTTGGTTGCTGGCGAGCAGGTCTTCATCAACTACGCACAGCCTATGTTCAACAGCCAAATGCTGCAGTCCTTTGGGTTTGTGCTTGAGGAGGAGGCGCTTCAAAGCTCCCAGGTCACGCTCTCACTTCAGGTTTCTGCTGCCAAGCTGATGCTGCAAAAGCGGCTCCTGGATGCTACCGACGGAGGCCACGAGATGCTTCACAGCCCAGCATCGGCTGACTTCGAAGGGTTGCAAGAGCTGATCGTCCGGCACACGCTCACATTGCAGGAGCCACTGCCCCCTGCATTCTTGGGTATGGTTCGGGCTCAGCACCTGCAGGGAGATGCGCTAGCGCACCCGTCTGCGTCTGCATCGTGCCTGCAGGGTCTGCAGGGCCCCCAAGCCAAAGAGGAGATGCGAGCTTTGCTCCTGGTGTCCCTACTCTTGGAGGGCAAATTGCAGGAACTCCGCGGCGGCGGCGAGTTGGAAGATCTCAGGGTGCTGCAGAGCGGCTCTCTCTCTCGTGCTCGCCGCCTGGCGCTGTTGCAGCGCTGCGGCGAGCGGCGGGTTCTGTTGGCAGCCCGTGCGGAGGCGGAGCGGCTGCAGCTTCGCTGCCTGCAGCAGGCCCTGGACCGTTCAACGGATTACCGGGAGAAATGCGAGCACTGCCCGGACTGCCAGAAGGCTCAAACGCCATGGCTGCACCGACTGCAGGCAGCGAGCGGCCGTTTGCGGGCAGAAGTTTCATCCGTGGCGAGTCTCAGCAAAAGCCTCTTCGACCGCCTGGAGGCGAGCCATTTAATGCAAGCCTGCCACCTCATCAACCTCTGGGTCGTAGGCATATCTCCGCCGACCGTGCCTCTCGAGACCGTGCAGAAGCTCTGCATGGCCCCAGCCACCTGGCCCGAGTCTTGGATGTCCCCAACTCTGAAGGCAAAGAATCAGCCGAAGGTTTGGGAGGCTGAGAAAAGCTCCGAGTATCTTCAGATCTACGTGCAGAAGTTGCAGCTATGGGGATCTTGGCTCCTGGCCCAATGGATGCATGCAGAGGCGCAGAGAGATTCAGATTCGGAAGCCATAGAGCGCTTTCTCTGTACGCAGGCTTAGAGCATGGGTTCAACTGCTTCGAGCCACGTAACTTTCCGAGGCCGTTTTGGTGGAGGAGCTCAGCGCCATGGGATCGGAGCAGGTGTCTCTCCGCCAGAAGTACGCCTGGAGCCTCCCGACGCCGGAGGCCCTGGAGGCCTTGCAGCGGAGGGCACCTCTGTTGGAGGTCCGCGGGAGCGAAAGGCGAAAGGAGAGCGTCGAAGCGTAGGCTCTTCTCTTGTTGAAAGGGCCGAGGGATAGTAAAAAGAGGGCCTTCGCTTGCCAGGTCGGGGCCGGCAAGGGCTACTGGGCGTCCTTGCTGAGAGAGCGGTCGGTGGACATCCTGGCCTTTGATTCGGCCCGCCCGAACCCGAGATTCAACCCCGAGGCGCCTGAGGCCGTTTTGGAGGAGTCGAAGTCTACGAAGTTCTGTGAGGTCTTGGAGGGAGGGGTCGAGGCGGTGCAAGAGCATCAGGCTGGGAGGGCTTTGGTCTTGATGTGGCCGGACTGGTTGGGTTTGGGTACCTATGGCCTGGAGTGCTTAAAGGCCTATGAAGGCAAAGAGCTGATCCTCGTCGGCGAGTGGCGGACAAGCACCTTCGGATCCTATGCGCCCAACATCTCTCAGCATGGCCAATCCTTTTCCCTTGAGTTTCAGAAGAAAGTCGAGAGTGACTTCTGCCTGGTAGAAAGGATCGAGTTACCGAGATGGCCCCTGTTCTTGGATTGCTTGCAGATCTTCCGGCGCCGCTAGAAAAAAGCAGGACCGTCCCGCCGCAAGTGTGTGGAGTGTCTAGTATCGCTCACAGCTGCGGGAGCCCGTCCAAGTGTGCATGCTTGGAGAGCCGAGGTGGTCAATCCAGTGTGGGCAGTTTGTGCTCATTCCCGGACATCCCGCCTTTCCCTTGTGGCAACTGGTTCAAGTGAGTTGCGAAGCCTCCTTGAAAGCTCGAGTAGTTCGGATAGCTGATACAAGCGTGTTCTTATACCATGTCAATGCTGACATCTCCATGCAACAGGTTCGCTCAGTGTGGTACCTCAAAGTCAGGCTGAAGTGCAATCATAGGCTGCATTGGATGTTCCAAGACGTGCGAGCGTGTTGCGTGCTTTTGTGCTGGGCGGTGATGGACAGATGGTCCACCCACCCAGCCTGACCCAGTGCTCCATGGTACCAAGTACCATGTACCGTTCAGCCCGGCTTATGCCCGGTGTTGCGAAATGGCCCCGGTGCTGTTCTTGTCTCTGCAGCGATATATGTTCGACGGGATACTTCAAAACTCATTGAAAGCATATTCACAGCCCGAGGCGTGCAAGCCTTGATGAATCTGTGCAGTTCACTGACTGACTCCGGAATTTCTGGGTGCATACACACAGACACAGCCCTCAGCACAGCAACCTGTCAGTACAACTTGGGCCGCAAAATCTTGAGTGCTGTTGCCCAGAGTTTGTGCCTCCTGGCTGTGTGATCTGCAATTCATATTCTGAATAATTCACGTCCGTGGTTGAGCTTTTGCCGGAGCTGCGAATCAGCAGCAGCCCAAGAGACCCCGTGTCACTTGGCAACTGCCGCCCTTACGTCCGGTGATTCTGGTGAAGGAGTATTTCTATGGACTCTATGGACTGATCTGAGTTTTGTCTTCCATGGCTCGGCAGCTTGAGGTGCGGAGTAACAGTAACCTGAAGCACCAAGACATCGAAGAGGTGCAATTTACAGGTTACTTGGGCTGGGCTCGGAATAAGGCTTCAAGAGCCCCGTCCGAACTCCGTGAAATTCCATGCCATCGCAGGTTTTCATTGTTGAGCAAGTTGGGCAAGGTCCAGCTGATCCGTCGACAAACCACTTTGACAATGACTATCGGGGGCGGTGTGTCCAAAAGCCGGTCGTGGTAGTGCCGTTGGCCGTTTGCAAGTAGCTAAGCTTAAACGGGTGACCCTGCAGCAACAAAACGTACCATCTCTACCCGCGGCAGGGTCGACGTGGTCCAGTGTGGCGGCGAGGGCGGATCACAACACAGGCCAGGCACGAGTTCGTGGCAGACGGTGAGTACGCGACGGCAGACAGCGCAGTCATCAGATGGCACTCGTGGTTGTTGAGCTTCAGCTGCAGAGGCTGCCTTTTGCGTATTCCGCAGAAGATCTGACTTTTACCGGTGGCCCTTGATGTGATGCCGATAGCGGTGACAGCGGTGATATCGTATATATCGTTTTTATGCCGTATGATCTACCGTATATCCATGGTGGTGCCTGGAGTTTCCCCACGACTTTAGTCGCCTCATCAGGAGCGAACCTCCGAGGACATTGCAGACTACCTCCTTTCGGGGGAGGCGGGAACCGGCGGGAAGGCTGGGACTCGGGGTTCATGGAAGCCTTTCGTTCCTCGCAGAACGACTACGCCTCCTTTCAGTCAGGGCCCAAAGAGGGTTTCCCGCCCCGTCATCTGAGACTCGTGCTTTCATTGAGGGAGATCTGCAAAAACTTCGATCCGCCAGCGGCGTTGGCCTCAGCCGGTGTGCCCGACATGGAGAAACGCCCACGAAACGAGGACCCGCAGCAAATCCGCGCCGTCATCGAGAGATGTCCAGATAGGTTCACAGTCAGCAGAGACACCGCCGCAGCCCGAGCGGAGACTCGTCGAGAACGTGCACGTTTCAAGCAAGTGCACGTGGCACAGAGTGCAAGCTGAGGTGACGGTCGTCGATGCGCAGCGGAAAGAAGCCATCACCTGTCCTGCACCCAGAGACAAACTGCCGTGCTCCCTGGATCGCCGTGGGATATGGGTAGGGTTCGTTCGAGGCATGATTAAGAAGCTGGTGGTGCGGGACATGGCACATGTGGAGATTGACCCGAACAAGGCCGGAACCGGAAGCCATCCAGGGCCCCCTCCTCCTCCTTGTGACAGCACTCCGTCTCCGTCCTTTTCCCTCTTGGGAAGGCGTGTGAGCACATCTGGCAAGCGGCTCACTACGCTCTGAAGGCGAAGCTCTCAAGAGATCCAAGAGCAAAAGAATCAGAGCGACACAAGGACTGCGGTTTCCAAGGCAACGCCGTGCCGAGTCGCGCAGGCTCCTGTCGGTTGTTTGCAGCATAATGGTGGCATACAGTAGTGATGCGTAGTGATCATGCGACGTTACGAAGTTGTGCGGCGTTTCCTTGAGATCCTCGGCTCTGTGGCGAAGGCGACCCTGACGCAAGGGCCCCGGCTTCGCGGCTTGGTCGGCCCACGCTTGCACGGCAACCCTCGTCAGGTACCCGGACGAGGTTGGGAAAGGAGTTTATCCGGCCAATATGCCCCTGGCCATGTCCCCGGGCCATGTCCCTAAGCGAAGTTCAAGTGGCGGGAACGATGAGGCCCTTGCCTGCCTCATCGACCGCATGGTCTACTTGGCCCGACAGCGAGGCGGCCAGAGCTCTGAAGTCAGAGCTGGTCAGAGGCGCTGTCCGCCTTTTTTCGGAAGGCTCCAAGCTCTTGGAGAAGGCTCTCAGCCCGAAGCTCTACGACATCCTGCTTCGGAGGCCTGGGACATCATGGGACCATGGCAGCTCAACCCAAAACCCTGCAGAAGACTTCTGCCAGGTGGGTGGTTGGGCGGATCAAAGGCAGCCAGTTCCTCGCGAACATGATCCTCGCCCAGGATTATGTCCGGGGAAGTGAGCCCATTGACGGGGTGCCGGCGAGGCTTGGTGTTACCCAAACCGGAAACTACAACTCCTCGGTCGATGTCTTGTTGCCATTGTTCTGCAAGTGTTCGAGCGCGTGCTGAGGATTCTCTTGTGGGAACGCCTTGGCTACTTCGAGGTTCCTCAGCGGAAGACCCTGGATCTCCTTTCGGTCAGGGACCAATGACTTCCAAAGGCCAAGGACCTCGAGAAGTGCAAGGAATCGCTGTCTCGGCCCCAGTTGTGACCGGAACGTCTCTGTCCCCCAACTGCGGCACATCACGACAAGCGTAAGCACGGGCAGAGCCAAAGAACGAAAGCAACACCACGAGAGCACAGCAAGAGTGGCAGCAGTACTCAGAGTAGGAGTCTGACAACGGTGGTAGACACAGTTGAATAGAACAGTCATGTTGTTGATGGTGATGCCCTGGCAAAAGTCGTCCCGGCTCTCAGGGTGAGCTTTGTGTTCAGAGTAGCGCCATCGGCCATGGCCGTGGTCGGTGAGTCCGGCCAGAACGCGACGGAGGTCGCGCTTTTGTCTCTCAAAGCATGCTTACACAGGTTTCCACCACCCGTGCCGCAGCGAAACGTTCCCTCATCGGATCTTGGCGCTGTCTCCTTGGAGGCCAATCCGGGAAGCTTGGGGCACCCTGAGCTCTGCCGTCGTCCGTGCATCTACCTCTTGAAGGGAGGGGCCTGCCATGCCGGGCATGCGTGTAACTTCTGCCACCTGACACATTGCACGCTGGATGCAAAGCTCGATCAAAAGCAGCGGCGTCTCCTGCAGAAGATGAGCCCTGGGGAAATGCTCGCCACGTCTCTTGGCTTGGTTTCGAAGTTTGAGCGCAGGTCACCGACAAACCAAGCTCATCGTGAATTCCCCCTAACAATGGCTCGGATGATAAGGAGAGAATAGGGCGCCTTTTTGGTTGTCATAAGCGAGAACGAGGTTTCTTCCCCACTTCCGGAGCAGGGCGGACGAGACAGGTCTCCTCCATCAGGCCGAACCCCTGATCCGCTTGTTGCTGAAGGAGCTGTGCCATTCCGGCTCGGCGATCGCAGAGGGGAGGCATTCGCGACGATTCCACGCAGCTTTGTCAAGGATGAGCCTGGCAACTCTGGCAAAGCACATGTTGGAGCCCTTCTCCGAAGAGGTGAAGGAGGCGTTCGAAGCTCTGAGGCGACGTCAATAACGCCCTCCGCAGACTCAGACGAGATGGGCCGAGTCTGCGAGTCTGCTCCCTTCGGCGCAGTTTTTGAGGCGCGGCCTCCGTAAGAGGCAAAAGGCTGAAACGGGGAAGATCCCCCTCCGCAACGCGTAGCTCAGGGCATTGCTCTGGGCTTCGGCCCAGAGTTCTGTGCCGCTGAGAGGTCTCCTGTGGAGTTGATTTTCATGAGCCGCCTCGGTTCTTTTCTTTTTGGTGGCGGCATGCGGTTGACATTTCCAGCGTGCCGCCCCAGCGACGTGATTACAATCCTGCCAGGGAGTTTATTCTCGGCAGCCCCAGCATGCTGAGCGGGCATCAATCCCCGTACTGCCCATACCACAGAACTGTGCCACGGAAAACGATTCGACAGCCTGGAGCTGCAAGCCCATCTTTCTTCGTGTCCCGCCTGTCCCGCGCATCAGTATGCCTCGCCAGAAAGGTACATTCTGATTGCGTACGCGCGGCATGACGGAGTGCGGTAGCCTCAGAAGGACCGATGCTCCAGAGTAGCTGCAGACTTCCCTACGAATGGGCAAAGCTCACGCCTAGCATCACTGGACCTTGACATGAACCTTGCGGTGCATGCATGCATATATGCATTCATGCAGGTAGGAATGCAGATGCCATTCCAAAGTACATTTATTTTAGTTGCTGTGCGTAGATGTGCAGAAGCAATCATGCCTGGTGCAAGGCCTGATCCCCCAGACAAGGATTTCGGAGATGGCTGGTGCCTCCCGCAGCTCTTGCAGCTGAGTGCTAGGTTTCTAAAACGCTCGGCAATGTAGAGGGTAGTAAGAATACAGACGGACAGGCTGATAGATGCAAATGAACGAGGGAACACATATAGGAGACATGCGACATGGTGACATGCATGATTATCCAAGACTCTTCACGATCGTCGCAACAGTAGTCACTATACTGAAAGGAAAGCTGCTTCTGAAGAATCAACCCTGACAACGATGCTCACGATGGCGATGATGATGATGATGATGGTGGTGGTCATGATGATGATGATGATGGTGATGATGATGTTGGTGATGAAGAAGATGATGATGCTATTGCCCTAGCTGTCGCCTTCTTGTTTTGTTGTTGTTATTGATGATGTTGTTGCTGTTGCCTTTGCTATTGCCTTTCTGCTTGTTGTTGTTGTTGTTGTTGTTGGCGTTGTTGCT